ATTATTATTAACAGGCATTAATTTTAATAGAAAGTATTTCAAAGATCTTGAGCTCCACGACGCTTAAAATAATGCGGGTGATGAAGGAAAAACCCATCAATCTCAACTCTCTAGGAAATTCTTATTCCAGCACTGTTCAAAAATAATTTTCCATTGACTTGGCCCCCACGTTGAATATCGGCGGAGCTCAGCATCCCACTGGAGAACAGCTTTGAACCCCGTTTTGGCATCTGAATAATATCAATTTATTTAATTTTTTTTCATACAACATAGTCCTTGGAGTTTGGATTGACACAACTCCAAGTTTCTTCTATTTAATGTATTGATTCATTTGTCAAACAAAACCACTGGTACTTAATATAAGAACTAGTTTAACTTTTAATTTGGTCCATTTCAGTTTATTTTGTATCTCATATTTATCTTTTTTTTCCTGAAGTAGTCATTGTAATAATTGCACATATTAAAAATTTCATCAAATGGTATATGATTAGCAAAGGCATTTTAGGAAAGACAACACCCATTTATTATAAATAACTAATTTAACTAACTTTTTTAATCTATTTAAATTAGTCAACTAGCTCTTATATTAAAAACTAGAAGAAATAGTACTGATGTAAAGGTTTAAGGCATTAGAGGAAAAGGAAGACACTTCTAGAATCAAGCTCAAACAACCCACTCGATGAACTTGCCATTTTATAGCAATGAAGCTCAATGTATGTCAACACATAACTTCCCTTCTCCTTTCAATCTTCTAAGCTCCCCACTCCCAAGCAGCCCTATCACTGTTACCAAACATGCCACAACTGATGGATACACCATCATGTCCAAAAGGCCCTTGAAACTTTTGCATTTCACGACTTTGCTGAATGCAAGCTGTGTCAGAGAAAACATCAATCCACACACAGCTGCACAGCGGCAACTGTGCCTGTGAACCCAATCACATACTTCTTATTTTCTGATGAACTTCACCGTTGGATTCTGCAGAAGAATCAGTCTGAAGAACGAGGAAGAAGGAGAAGCCATTGAAGGCTAGTTTTGATGTGCAAATCAGAGAATATGTGGAAACAGGAAAGTCAAAGCAGAAGGTTGCTTATCACTACTGTTTGATTGGCTCCACAAATTACCATTACCCCAATTAGGAATTGTTTCGATTGCTCCTTCTGATACTTGAAAAGAAAAGGAATGAAAATATTAATTCATGAGAATACAAGTTCATCTGAAAGTGTCAAAACAACGGAATAAGAAGACGTGTGTCAGACCCAAAAAACAAAAGAAAAGTAGACGTGTGAATATGGAGCAAGTTTTTTGCCGGGTGATTCTTATTTCTGAATAGGAAGAGAGAGCAAATTTATGGACACTATTAACAGACCTATTCCTATTTGGGAAGCTTCACTTGATCTTGAGCTTCTCCCATGGCAAATTTGAACAAGGTTCAGAAGAGAGAAGGCGTAGAAATTAATGGCTCTTGCGGTAATACTACACTTTGTCATTTTTTATACTTGAAATTCCTGAGAAGTTCAAACGGTTTTCATTTAAGTTATATTATTTGACCAGTAATTAAGACGAAAAGGAGTTCCTGACGATGAAGCCAAAAAGCCATTTTATCGTTTAAAAAATTAAAATGTTCTTATATGATACATTGAGTGCCATCACTATTAGTATATATATGCTAGCGATACATCTCATGACAATCATCTTGAATCTAGTTTTGCGTAATTGATTTGCCTCTTTGGTGGGATCAAGGACAGGTCATTAAATAGCGAGAATATATTAACATCCATTTTTTAATGTTTATTTACTTTATAAGGCCAACCTATTTGTGAATAATTTTGCTTTGTTTACCGCTTCTTGGAGTCAAAGAAAGAATACTAAATAAATTAGTTGAATATATATATATATATAATGGAAGGTGAGGAGAAGTCAGTTGTATATTTAATTTATTGGGAAAATTAATCTTTTAGTCCTTAAGGGTTTTAAGTTATTTGTAACTCAGTCCTTAAACTTTAACTTGGTGCAACTCAGTTCCTATAGTTTTGATCCGGTTGTAACTCAATTCTTAAAGTTTGATTCCATGCAACTCAGTTAGTCACTTTAAAATTAGTCCCTATAGTTTAGAAAATAAAATTATGGAAAATTAATATTTTAATCTTCATAATATCATTCAATTTATAATTAGGTCCCACAGTTCATATCCTTTTCATCAACTCCCTGCACATTCAGTTTATGAATGGCGTTACTTGCTATAGTCTACCATAATCGCTAATTTTCTGCCATGTTAGCTCTATTGAAAGTGCTAGGGCTTGAATAGCAAAATTTCAAGGCCGATAATCGTCAAGGCTTGACATTGATAATGAGTTCCTTGCTCTTCTGTTTTATTTTTGTCATCTACGCTGGCTTCATGGTCTCTCTTTACCCTGTCTTTTTTTATTCTTTCTTACTGAAATCATATTCACAAAGTATTTAGCTTGTATTTTAACAACACAACTTCAACAAGGCAATATTTTTTCATGCATGATGGAAACAAGCAAAAGCTAAAGGATCCTCTGTTCGCCTCTGCCTTCGGCCCCAAAAACAAAGGCAATGAAAATATTAATAATATGGTAATAGCAATCCCCAGTTTGGACTATTGTTTTCCATAGATAACATGATGATGATATCTATCATTTTTTCTTTTTTTGTCTACTTATCAGTATGTGCATGTTTACAGCTGATTAAAACATTAAAATATTCGACAGAAAAAAATAATAATGGAAAAAAACCACATCACAGTAACCCAAAAAAAAAAAAATGTCTTTCACTTAAATAATCTTTCAATTCGCTCTAGAACACTATGCCAAAATTAATAATAGAAGGCGACCATATTTTGATGCTTCTCTCCTCTACACTTCATCACCGCTCATAGTTGAAATGCGAAGCTATCATTCTGAAGGAAAATCATGGAACCGACATTAAGCTGATTAATCATATTTGGTTTAACGACAATGAACATGGAAGTGACAATAATTATTTTGGCAAAAGTACTGCCAATTTCATGAGCGTACTTGATTCATACCTTTTATATAACAGAAGTATTTTTACCCCAAAATAAAAGGTATCGAACAGATTACACCGATTTTCTTCCATCTAAACCATAACAACTGGAGTAAAACATAAATCACACAAAGCTAACCTGCAATTTTCTTCGATAAGTCCATCCTCATATTTATTAGCACTGGACTTACGAACCACCTCGTTTAAGAGTGATGAAGGGGTGGCGGGTCTTGCCAAATCAGATTTTGACTTGCCATCTCATAAAAAATTAACGGATTTTAAAGAGTTATAAATAGTGAGAAGGAACACCATTCTCAGATTGAAAGGCAGGCAGTTAATTGAAAGGATATAAATTATGGGACCTGATTATAAATTGAATGATATTCTGGGGATTAAAATATTAATTTTTCCTAATTTTATGTTCTAAATTGTAGGGACTAATTTATAAATGGCTAAACTATCGGGATTGAATTGCATAGAATCAAACTTTAGGAATTGAGTACAACTAAGTCAAAACTATAAAGATTAAGCTGTATCGAGTTAAAGTCTAAGGATTGAGCTACAAATGACTTAAAACTCTAAGGACCAAAAGATTAATTTTTTTCTAATTTATTTTGTTATCAAGATGATTATTTAATATTATTGTCATCTCATATCATACTATATCAAATTATAATTACATGTAACTCTTTTTACATAAAAAATCTAATTGAACCACCAATAAAGCTAAATGAAGAGAATTTGGACGTAGAGTACTATATATGTTACTAAACTGTGGCCTTATTTGGCACGCAGACAACATATAATGAAAAAATCATTTTCACAACGAGAAATTTTTTTAAGATTAATAAATAAAAAAATATATAAATATTAGTATGCCCTCAAAGTATTAGGAGAGTCGATAGTGTGTGCATGTTGTTCTTAACTTCTTACTACCTCTAGTCCTCAATATAAAAACTCGTTTGACTTTTATTTTGATCATAAATATAAGACCTCAATCAGCTTTGTTTCTCATATTTATCTATTTTTTTCTAAGGCAGTCTTTATAATAATGGTAGTTCTAGTCAATACACTTGATTAGCAATGATATTTTAGAAAAGATAACATCTATTTATTACAAATAACTAACTTAACGAACTTTCTTAATTTAATCAAATTAGTTAACTAGCTCTTACATTAAGAACCAGAGGTAGTACTATATAATTAACTAATTTATAGCCCTATGCGATGTGTGGTTTGTTTAAAATGTATTATAAACTAGTAAAGTAATTTGATTAAATAGGATATAAAAATATTGTGAAATATAACTAATTGTGCTGAACACATTAGCAGTTAAGGCACGTCATCTATTTCTAAAGATAAGAAATTGGGATTCAGTAAAAACAGAGCAATGATAAGCTATTTTGAGAAGAATAATTCTTTAGCAATATCTGTTTTATATAATAACCACAAAAAACTAATAATTGCCAAAATCGTCTTCTTAAAATTGTCAGGTTCACAATCGCCAACTCTTTGGACTCCCGATCTGGACTCGCCGTCTTTTGTCTCTGTTCCCTGTGGCTAATATTTTGGAAGGATGATAACTATGTAGCAGAACTCCAAAGGTTTAGGTGTCCAAACAATTTTTTCAAAAATAAGTTATAAATAATAATTCAAAAACTTCTAAATGTGAGAGTTGAACTTGCAAACTATAATACTTAATAATTTCTGATTTACCACTTAATTGGACTTTCATACTTGGTAGTTATTTAAACCAATAGTACTTTAATTTTCATCAAAATTTCTTGAGACCGGACCGTTATCAGATTTAAATTTTGAAACTTAACTATTATTTTCCAAACAATGGAATGCCCAATATTCTTTTTTTTTTAAAAAAAAAAATCTAGATTCCTCTTTTCTATATCTACAGTGTTAGACATGCAATATCATTTATCCCTCTTTGCCAGCAATGCTCCTATGCACAAAACAAATGAAGAGATAACCCTTAGATCTCATTTGGTATGAAGCATTGACAATGCAATATAAGAATTATGATTGGGATTGAGAAAATCTACTCAATCTCACCTATATAGATTTGTCTAATTACAAGTAACAAGCAATCTTCCATGCTAAGCATTCTTCTAATATATTTTCTCAATCTCAATTTCAATCCCATATTTTCAATACTTCGTATCAAACGAGACTTAAGCGGACATCATCAATCATTGAAACTTTCTTCCATCGGCTGGCTAGGTTGTTTGCGCTTTTACAAAGGGATGTTCTAGTAATGCTGCAGCAGATGGCCGCTGGGCCGGATTTCTTGCGAAGCAGAGTTCCAGAAAATCCTTACCATCTTGGCATAATCCTTCTGGTATGTCCGGATTTTCCTCTTTAAGACAAACTCTAAAGAACACCTGTTGCTGCTTAGTTAATGAATTTGTTTTAGTGAAATACTTAATTAACTAATAAATGCAAGCCCCATATATGTGATACGATGTCTCATATAATTCCACAATTATTTTGTTTCAAAAGTATACCCTAGTTTCTCACTTGCATTAACGCCAGATCTAAAGATTAGCTAGTTCTTTGAGTACATTATTATATGCTTTATTTATAGTCACACTGCTCTAAGATTAGATGTGTTATTTTTGTGTTGGGTAAAGCGAAAACAGATAGACTTTCTTTGATTAGAATATTTTATTGCTTCATTTGTTTAAGAAATATTTATAGCATAAAATAACAAAGCCTTAAATTCTTTGATTTTTATATGCACATTAAGAAGTCATATAATCTAATGCAATGTTATCTCTATATATAATGAAGTATAAAAGTGTTTACCGGTTCAAAACCAGACCAAGGATGCTTCCCTGAGAACATTTCAATCATTACGCAGCCCAAACTCCATATATCAGCAGCATAAGCTTCAAGCGAGCTCTTGTATTCTATTTTTTTAAGAACCTGTATGCATGAACAATTAAACAAGTCTATTAAGAAATACTTTGTGACGCATAATGTAGAGTATGTAAGTGTACACCTCTGGGGCTGCATAATATGGAGTTCCTAATACGGAGTGCGTGCCCGCAGATTCTGCTAACTATTCAACACAGAAAAGCCAATTGAGTTATTGTTGGCTGTTGGGACTATCATATCAATTCCAAGGGTATTTGAAAGGCCACAAATAACCACCAATACTATAGGTCACACATACTCGATCCTAAACATGTTCAAAAACCAGTGGCCACGATTTTGTCATGTGAGTGCATGTCGAACATGATATCCAAGAACTTACATGCTTAGCCAAACCAAAGTCAACGAGCTTTAAGATGTTGTTAGAATCGACAAGCAGATTGTCTGGCTTTATGTCCCTATACAATAATACACATGAAAACAAGGAGAGAATGAGGGAGGGTTATAGAATATAAGAATGATATATATTTTGAAGAAACGTTCTGCAGAAGAAAATCTATCTTTTTTTTATATTTTATTACTTTCCATTTTTCCTTTCTTTAGTAAGTGGGTTGTTTAATCATTAGGTGTATTAAAATTGCTAACAGGTAGGTTTCTTTTTGTAATGATGGCAGAGCAAGTGGGTGATTAGTTCATAGAAAGGAAGGGGGGAGCAAGCGGCTGGTTTCTTCAAGAGAATTGGAAACCTCAACCTATAAATATGTGTGTACCTATTAGGATAGACTTGGATGGTAATGAAAATTGATTTTGCTATAGTTTAGCTATTCTCTATCCTCCTTAAGTTCTTCTTATTCCTCCTCCTTCTTATCTTATCTCTAGCTCCCTTCATTTCTCTGTCGAATCCCCCTCTTTAGTTTAGTCTCTCCTATCCCCCATCATCACTGTTCTGTTTTTCCTATCTCTTCCTCTTATGTTTTTATGAACCTCCCCCAACTTCCTCCTCTATTTGTATTAGAAGAAATGTGTGTCAGTGTTTTTGTCCTGGGCGAAATAAATTACTTAAGACCATCCCAACATATACTTATCATTTTGACAACCCTATTTTTAGTGTGATTTTGAAACATGAGTTAAAAATTAATTATCTTACAGGGTATATGTGTTATAATATCCAGAAATCACACAATATTCCATACAAGTATAAAAAATACCTGTGAATTATTCTTTTGCTATGCAGGTAAACCAACCCGGAGAGAATTTGCGCAGTGAAATTTTGAATTAAAGGTTCACATAAAATACCTCGTTCTGATATATATTTCTTTAGTGAACCTGGTTTGATGTACTCCATGTATAAAGAAATGTGGTGTCCAGCCTAATTATGCATGAACCAAGTCATGAATTAATTGTGTATATCTTTCCTCCTCTGCTAATAAATCGGGAAAGTACTTACTATTTCATTGCCAAAATATTTCACAATATTGGGATGTTCCAGTTGGCTGAGAATTTTGATTTCCTGAAAACACAAATATATTTTAGCAATGTTTGATGCAGTGAAATGTATAATAAATTTATTGCAATAATAGGCAAATAATTTTCTTTCTCCATCTTTTAAATTAGCTAAAGGGTTTATTGACTTGCAATGACATCATAATCCCTGCAGTCTGGTTGAATTTAGAAATTATGTATAGCATAATTCGGATCCTTTGGTATTATAATGTTTATTAATTAATAGAAAAAGTAGTAGGAAGAGAATTTGGATTCTTTTTAAGATATCAAGTTTTTTAAGAGAAAAAATAATGAGAGGAATACGGAGTTTAATTACAATAAATGTTTAATTTATAACTCTACTCCATAATTTATTCTTAATTTTTTATATTATATTTTCACACACTAGAAATTAAAGCTTTGGCTCGACTTTCTGATTCTTCAATGACAAAATCGTCACTTGTAAAGGATCTTATGTGTGACAAAGAAATTTTAGTAATATGTATAAGCCATACCTTTCTTATAGATTCTCCATTTTCAAGTTTGAAAACATCTTTAAGTTCCTTGACTGCACATAATTTTTTGATTTCCCTGTCAGAAATGAAGAAGACGACATGGCTTTTATACTTCGAGCAAGTGTTTACTGCTTACTAACTAGCTAGGCTTCCAACATATATTTCTCATTAAGAAATTTAAAGTAAGACGATAAGATCCAAATTTTAGTTTACTCATACCTGTTATAGGCAACATAAACAGTCCCATATCCACCAGCCCCAATAATTTCTCCTTTTACCCATGTACTAAAATTGGCGGCATCAGAGGTTGAATTGGCATCATCGTCGTCGTCGTCTTCTTCCTCTACTGCACTTGAGACTCTGTCAAGAACGGAAAAGAAAACACATTGATGGCTGCGCAATTGTCCACATAATGCATTAATTATTGACTAAGAAATGATGAGATTAAGAAAAAAAAGATAAAAATACCTGGAAGGATCAACATGAACCGATACGAATCCACCATTCCCAGTAGGAGGATCCCATTTCGGCCTTTGGCTAAAATTTGAGGGAGAAGAGAATGATTGAGGGTCATCGTAGTTGTGTTGATCGACCAACTCATCAATGGTTAAAGAAACAGATCCAACTTCTGCAGCCCCAGCAGGATCCTCTGTTTCACACTGGCTAAGGTAGGTGGTCGAAGAGATTGAACGAGCACCATCATAATTCTGTTGATCAAACAACCCAGTGTTCAAAGAAGGGGCTTGGGCAGGGCTGATATTTTGTTCCAGTTCCGCGGCCTGCTTGATCATTGAAGCAACCATTATATTTCAGAACAAGTTCATAAATGCATGCATGTTCGTCAGTAAAGTATGTTTATGAATCAACTCTTAAGTATTGTGTAGCTCAATGAAGTCAAAGCGTAAGGATTAATATATATTAACCAGAGTACAATTTCTCTTCACCAAAGCACAGCTCAGCAAAACCATATAGGACAAAAATATTCGGTTATTAGAATGCTTGTCCTGCTACTGTATCCTGAGAAGTTCTGTAAATACTCTACAATGTACTGTGTCGATGGAATGAGATGAAATAAGAGAGTTTCTACACTTTACACATTTCATGTTTTGGTTATAATTAAGAAATATATAGGCAGCTAACGCATATAGTTGACATGGCTCTACGATACTTGTTAAGAAAAGGGAAGGAATGACCCACCTGGATTTCGTGGACTGCCTCTCTTGGGAACACATATAAGTAGAGAGAGTTAACGATGAGATTCAGAAGATGCAAAACCAGACCGTATGCAACGAATAAGGATTTCGAATGCAAACGTAAGGCGATGGACAAAACAATAACAACAGTGTATGTCATGCCATAAAGTCCTTCAACTTCTCTGGAGCAATAGCCGTGAGGTCTCGTGTCTTTCGCCCATCTTATGTGCATACATTTTGAAAGTTGCACTACCGCAAAACCTGTGAGCTCGGGATACAGTTCCAGGGACTTAAATATTCCCTCCGGTCCTTCAACCAGGAGCATTGGAGCAAAAGATATCACAATGCCCAAACTTGAAACCAGCTTCGCAGTAGCAGGCATTGATAATCTCAACTCGCGTTCACGAAGAGGCCGGTCCCCCAGTTGTGCAGCCATGAATGAGATTGGATCATCTCTGAGATATGTGTATTATTACAAATTAAAAAAAAAAAACCGTTGCTTTACTCTGAATTTGGAGAAGACGATCAGAACCCAATTTCTGAGGAAAACACAGTACATGCTTTCTATGACCACACAAGTGTCTACATAGTTCATTAATTATTGGCTAAGAAATTAAGAAAATAAGATGAAAAATATGAATTTAATCCAAGAATTGTATACACACCTGCTGCGGGCAACATGAACAGATACGAATCCACTACCCCCAATAGGATCTTCACATATAAAATTTGAGGTAGAAGAGACTGAATGAGGAGCATCATAATTCTGCTGATGAACGAAGTCAGTGTTTAAAGAAGAATCAGCTCCAACTTCTGCGGCCCCAGTAGGATCTTCTGTCTCGCATTGCGTCAAGGCCAGACGAATTAACCTTATAGATGGTACAAGGACTAAGGTCTTGGGGAATGTACGGACGATGCTGTAAAAGACCGTAATAGCTGCACTAATTGGGAGGTTATAACATAGGACAGCTTCTCGTGACCAATAGACGGAAGAGCCCTTGGATTTCCTCCGCATATTCAGCGGATTTACTTCATGAGGCAACTGGACCATGACCATCGCTGCTGCTGATATTCCGTCCAGGCTTTCAAGCTGGACCACTAAATCAAAACATAGCGCTGCCAGGAGGATGGCCGCAAAATGCTCAGTAACTTGAATATGTAAAGGACACAGCCAGTTGGTGGTAAAAGGGACTGAATTATTAGCAGCATCATTATTCTGTTGATGAACCATTGTATATTGTTTCAGTTTCTGCAGCTGCATGATCATTGAAGCAACCATTATATTTCAGAACAAGTTCATGAAAGCATGTTCATCAGCAAAGTATAACATATGCATTGTTGTGGAGTCAAGTGTATGCGTGAATAGCGGCTAACGGATATGATTGTCATGGCCCTACAATGATTGTTAAGAGAAGGGAGGAAATGGCGCACCTCGTACACCTCGCACATAACCATAATGATAAAGAGCAGAAGATATGCAACCAGAAATAAGTGATCAGCTGTCGGGGATTTGGCAATTACAGGGATGACGTAGTAAAAAGCAGCGGTAAAAAGTAGAGTAATGGGGACGTCATAGAATGGGAGAACCCGTCGTAGGTAATAGAGGGGAGGGACTTTGTTTTGCCCCAGCATTGTACACTGCATCAAACGCCAAATATAGGCTGCTGCAAGCACTCTCACCATCTGAAACCGCTCATATGTTGCCTCCAGTCTTTCAAGCTTGGACGCTAAAGAAACACATAGGTATGCCTCAGAAATAATAAAGATCATGAAGGAATATTTAAAACTCAGCGTCTCAGAAGAAGGTGGTAATCTCAACCAGCGTTCACGAAGAAGTGGATCCAGATCTATCAGTAGTGTAGCCATGGATGAAATTGCATGTGCGTTGAATATAATGATGGCTGAGATATATGGGCATGTTTCATAAGCAATTCACTGATTCTATTCAAACCCAAAACAACCATCTTCCTCGTTACTAGTCAACAATGGACAGCGCGGCAAAGGGAAATCTCACTTTCATGATTCTCAGTTTCTCACTTCACTCGGAATTTTCTTTTTGGAATCCTTGAATAGAGATGAAAACAATGGAGTGTAATAAATGAAAGAAGAATTGGGGGAGGAGTAGTCAATGACGGAAGAAAAAAAAAACGAGGGAAGCAACGGATGAAAGTGGAAAAAATGGATGGGGGCGGTGGAAGGGATTGAACGTGGGAATATTAAATACCTTCACCCCAGTTGTTATTTTCAAAGCAGAGGAAGAGAGAGCAGAAGAGAAAGAGTAATAGGCAGTGAGGAAAATCAAGAGAGAATAAAAGTACACGCTGTCTGAAGGTGAAGATAAGATTTAGAGATCATTTAGGTATACAAATATACTTCTTTTTATATTTTTTATGAATATTTTTATATATTTAGAGTTTTATATTATTAGTTTTATTATAATGTTTAGAAAAAATTTTAAAGTTTGAGTATAGAGTAAATAGTGACTTTTAACAATATATGATCGTGAAAATTTAAAGATATATTATTAAGAAATTTTAATTAGTTAATATTTGTTTAATGATTGTTTTGCTAATTTCAAATTAAGATTTTAGTTGAAAAATTTATTATTTAAAACATATAAAATGTTTTTACCAATTAAATTTAATTTAAATAATTTATTTGTGTTATTTAATAAATTATTGAGATTTTAATCAGTTTGAATATTGAATAGGTTAAAGATATATTTTTGAAATAATTTTTGAAGGTTTGAAAAATTATAAATTAAGAATTTTACGAAATTAGATAAAGTTGCAATTTATTTATAATTCAAAAGGGTTGTTTGGTTTGAGAAAAATTTTAAATGAGACTATAATAAATAATTGAGATTTTAATATGAAATATTTATATTTTTGGTAATAAAAATATATTTGCTTAAGTTATTAAATTTAAATAGTTTGATGTAAATTATATTTTCAAAATAATATTATCTTTATTATAAATAGCTAGATTTGTGAGAATTAATATATTTTTGTAATTTTAGTTTAGAGGGTATTCTTAAAATTTTAGAGTAGTTTTAAGTTTTATATTAATATCTATATGCAACTTTGTAGACTCTAAAAATTCTTTCATATACATGTAAATTGTATATGATTATATTGTTGATTTACTAATTTTTATATCATACTGAAATATAATATTATGATTTTTCAAATAAATGTTTTAATATGTTACTTGACTTTAAGATATATTGCTATTAATTATGACCAATATTTAAATATATTGATAGCTATGGAATTATCATGAGTTGCTGTTAAATGGTATAAAAATTTTATTGCTATCTTATTTTAATAAATTTGATGACATATTTCTGATGTAACATTATTTGAATATGACATTTCTATTGTTGGGCTAAAGATAGAAGGAAATTTGTATGGATATAAATTACCATGTCGTATGCTATCACTTGGTGCACAGTGGATGGTACTTATCAAGGCCCATTCTTTCATGTTTTCCTTTGGCCGGGAATTTATTGGAGTTGTGGGACATGTGACGCCTCTTTTTTTTATCTGCAAAGGAGGAAAGCCATAGTCCGAACTTGAGCTCTATATCTTTAACCAAATATATCTCCAGTATCAGTGAGCTTGGAATAATTCAGTAAAATGAATTAGTTCCTATTGGACCATGTGTTAGCCTATGGCTTCAGTCAGTGGTATAAGGGTGGACGGTGATATAGAGGCTGCATATTGCATTATTTTTGGATATATTGAAAAAATGATATTAGTATGTTGTTGAATTTAAAAACAAACTTGAGTTGAATGTGTAAAATTCATGATTTTCATACATAAATATATATATATACATATAAATGGATTTTTATTTATCATATATAGTTTGCTTGTATAGGTTAATTAGAATTTCAGTAGTTAATGAGACGTTTGATCTCATTCCTTATATTAAAATTTTCAGGTGAAAGATTTAGTAGGAATCAAAGGAAGGCACCGATGGAGTAAACCGTGAAGGCTTTTGTACTCCTCGAACACATGCTATGTTGTATTTTTATCTGCCATGATTAAGACTTCGATAATTTATTTTGTTATGTCAAAAAAATATTTTGAAATCATGACCTGTTTGAAGTGTTAGAAATACATATGGACTTTTAAATAAAGTATTTTATTGTGTATATGAATATAATTACATGAGGTGTAACAGATAATAATTTTTATTTTATTTAAATCCATGTAGCAAAAATAATCCAAGTATATATGCTAATTAGAGCGGCATTATTAGTTTCTAATGTCATTTCTGTTACAAATTAAGAAATCATGAGTGTATATTATAATAAGAATTCAATTAAACAAATTATAATGATTTGTTTAAATTTTCGTAACCGTAAATCAAAATCAAAGGGGATCGCAACTTCTTCCAACACACGAAACAAAACCATGGGAACATTAATCCTGAAGCCCTCTTCGCCAAAAACCTTCCTTTCGCATCTAAAAGCATATAATTCCCTCATCATTCTACTGGTTACCTCTGCTCTATTAAATCCAAGACATTAAGTTGAAGAAATTTGGTTGCCGATGCAAAAGTTAAAGACAAACTTCAGTAGTAGCAATAGTAGCAGACTAGTAGCAGTATAAGCGCGTATATATTGTGCCAAAATGGTCTTAGCAAAATGGTCAAGTCCACAACAGCCGTCTTTGGACTGGCTACTTTGTCTCTCTGTTCCTCTTGACTAATGTAAAAGACCGCCACATGCAGCCAGCCCCTGCTGATTCCTTCAACCATCCACGTCTATCCCCACCCTCCTGCTGGGGGTAGGGTCCACCTTGTTTGTTTTCGTTACTTTAAACGAAAAGATATATCTTTGAAAAGTCAAGTCCTAAAAATTGAAGCATTTTTATATATAAAAAATTATGTATAGAGTTAAAATACTAAAAATAACTAAAATCATATCTTTACAACTTATAAAGCCACTGTAAAACTAATATCACTTGGTAAAACAAAGAGATGGTTCAAGAAAACCTACATTAAATTGAAAATATTTAAGATCAAATTGAAAATCAAATTAGCTCTTATATTAAGCGAATAGAATGCTAAAATTGTGATTTTTTTAAAACTACCAGATGCACAATAGCCTACTCTTTGGACTCCCAAGCTGGACGCATTTTCTTTTGTCTCTGTTCCTTGTGACTAATATTTTGGAGGGATGACAATTACGTCGCAGAACTCCAAAGGTTAAGGTGTCTAAAAAATTTTGTCAAAAAATAAGTTATAAATAATAGTCGTAATTCAAAAGGTTGTAAATATGAGAGTTGAAGTTGCAAACTATAATACTTAACTATTAATATTTTTTGATCAAACAATACTTATGTCAAATTCCGTATATCCATTAAATCAAGTTTTCCAACCACATAAGACCATATATCATATATTTAAAATATTACTGTTGAATTATAAAACGACAGATGAGAAAATAAGATATATGGCAATGTATTATTGGAGAACTTAACATAATAAATATTATGAACTTGATTTAAGTATTTTTCTTTTTGATCTACAACTTGGAGACTTTCACTGCCCAATATTCTTTTTTTGAAAAAAAAAAATCTAGATTCCTCTCTTTTATATCTACAGTGTTAAACACGCAATATCATTTATCTTTCTTTGCGAGTAATGGTCCAATGCACAAAACAAGTGAAGAGATCACCCTTGTTATATAAATTAAGACCTTAGCTATTTATATCATACTAAAATCCCAATACCCTCAACGTACATCATCAGTCATTGTACTTTCTTCCGTGGGGAGGCTAAGTTGTCTGCGCTTTTACAAAGGGATGTTCTAGTAATGCTGCAGCAGATGGCCGCTCGGCTGGAGTTCTTCTGAAGCAGAGTTGGAGAAAATCTTTACCATCTTGGCATAACTCTTCTGGTATGTCCGGATGTTCCTCGTTAAGACAAACTCTATAGAAAGCCTGTTGCTGCTTAGTAAATGAATTTGTTTTAGTCAAATATTTAATTGACTCATAAATGGAAGCTCCATATATGGGATACAATGTCTCATATAATTCCACAATTATTTTGTTCAAAAAGTATACCATAATTTCTCCCTTGTCCTTGCATTTAACCAAGGCACTATTTCATTAATGCCAGACGTAAGGATTAGCTATTCCTTTGAGTACGCATTAGATGTGTTATGCTTGTTGCTTCACTTGTTTAAAGAAATTTTTATAGCAGAAAATAAGAGACTTAAATTCTTTGATATTTATATGCAAATTAAGAAGTCATATTATCTAATGCAATGTTAGATCTATATATGTCGAAGTGTAAAAGTGTTTACCGGTTCAAAACCAGACCAAGGATGCTTTCCTGAGAACATTTCAATTATAACGCAGCCCAAACTCCATATATCAGCAGCATAAGCTTCAAGCGAGCTCTTATATTCTATTTTTTTAAGAACCTGTATGTATGAGAACCAGATTTAATTGAAAAATAATTTTTGACGCATAATGAAGAATATGTAAATATACACCTCAGGGGCTGCGTAATGTAGAGTTCCCAACACGGAGTGCTTGCCCACAGATTCTGCTAACTATTCAATACAGAAAAGCCAATTAAGTTATTGCTGACTCTTGGGACTATCATATCAAGTCCAAGGGTATTGGAAAGGCCACAAATAACCATCAGTACCGTGTGGGACACGCATACTCGATCCTAAACATGAATCACCATCTTAAATAATCACTTGAGAAATTATGTCTCGAGTTCAAAAATCAATGGCCTCGATTTTGTCATGTGAATGCATGCTGTACAAGATAATCAAGAACTTACATTCTTAGCCAAACCAAAGTCAACCAGCTTTACTATGTTGTTAGAATCGACAAGCA